AATGATCAACTTTTCAACCTTTATCACAAAATGGCCACATATCTTGCAAAATACCTTTTTTTTGTGTGTGTGTGAAAATAATTCCATTTTCATTATTATTTAGTTGGGATCACTGATAAAGCAATTTGCAAAAAAGTTATCTTGTGAAATAGGTGGTTATTTTGTGATAAGCTAAAATAATGTCTTGACTCTTGAGTATAATTGAAATCACACATTGTACTTACGCATAATATACATAATTCATATAAAAATTCATTCCATTCTCAGACCCCAACTAAACATGATCATAGAATGTAACAACTCATTCAATTCCGATTCCATCCAACCAAACATACATACCTTCTAGTTTCTGAAAACTGATTACAACTGCAGGTGAGTGGGATTCCTGTTGATTACACTTTCGGGGCCAAACAAATGGAAAATGGTAATTCCAATTCCAATTCCGAACTTGACTCTCAATCATCTGTTCCCGGAATGGATGAAAACATAGTGGTCCCCGGAAACGGAAAAGACACAGTTCCTTACGATCTAAACCTAATGACAGAGCCATACGGGGTCCCATGCATGGTGGAAATCTTCCATTTCTTATGTTCATTACTAAACGTAGTCGAACACATGGCAATCGGTCCACGCGCCAACACAATCTCATTCGATGAAGACGTCCCTCTATTCGCCTTATCTTTAATCAACTCCGCCATCGAACTGGGCGGCACCGCCATCAGCCGCCACCCCCGCCTCCTCTCCTTAATCCAAGACGAACTCTTCCGCAACCTAATGCAATTCGGCCTCTCAACAAGCCCTCTAATCCTCTCCATGATTTGCAGCATTGTCTTAAACCTATACCACCATTTAAGAACCGAGTTGAAGCTCCAACTCGAAGCATTCTTTTCGTGTGTCATTCTTCGACTCGCACAGAGTAAATACGGAGCATCATATCAACAACAAGAGGTAGCCATGGAGGCTCTTGTTGACTTTTGTAGACTGAAATCTTTCATGGTGGAAATGTACGCCAATCTAGACTGTGATATCACGTGTAGTAATATCTTTGAAGATCTCGCCAGTTTGTTGTCCAAATCAGCATTCCCGGTGAATTGCCCGTTGTCTGCTATGCATATCCTCGCGTTAGACGGTTTAATCGCGGTCATCCAAGGAATGGCCGAGAGGATAAGCAACGCCCCGGTAAATTACGAATTTACCCCTGTTTGTCTCGAAGAGTATACGCCTTTTTGGATGGTGAAATGTGAGAACTATAACGATCCGGAACATTGGGTCCCGTTTGTTAGAAGGAGAAAATATATAAAAAAGAGGTTGATGATTGGAGCGGATCATTTCAACCGGGACCCGAAGAAAGGGTTGGAGTTTCTTCAAGGGACACATTTGTTACCCGACAAACTGGACCCACAAAGCGTGGCGTGTTTTTTTAGGTATACAGCGGGTTTGGATAAGAATCTTGTTGGGGACTTTTTGGGGAATCATGATGAGTTTTGTGTTCAGGTTCTTCATGAGTTTGCGGGTACTTTTGATTTTCAAGATATGAATCTTGACACCGCGTTAAGATTGTTTCTAGAAACATTTAGGCTGCCGGGAGAATCTCAGAAGATCCAGAGAGTTCTAGAAGCGTTTTCCGAGAGATATTACGAGCAGTCCCCCCTGATTCTTGCTAACAAAGATGCTGCTCTTTTGTTGTCGTATTCTTTGATCATGTTGAATACAGATCAGCATAATGTTCAAGTTAAAAAAAAGATGACAGAAGACGATTTCATAAAAAATAATCGTCACATTAACGGTGGAAACGATCTCCCACGAGACTTTTTATGTGAGCTTTACGATTCCATTTGTAAAAACGAGATACGAACGATTCCGGATCAAAGTGCGGCTTTTCCTGAAATGAATCCTAGCCGTTGGATCGATCTGATGCATAAATCAAAGAAAACCGCACCTTTTATTCTGTCTGATTCGAGGAGCCATCTGGATCGGGACATGTTTGCGGTTATGTCGGGGCCCACAATTGCTGCGATCTCTGTGGTGTTTGATCATGCTGAGGTGGAAGATGTGTTTCAGACATGTATTGATGGGTTTTTGGCTGTTGCTAAAATATCAGCGTGTCATCATTTAGAAGATGTTTTGGATGATTTGGTTGTTTCTTTGTGCAAGTTTACTACTCTTTTGAACCCTTCATCCGCTGAAGAACCCGTTTTAGCATTTGGTGATGATGCAAAAGCTAGGATGGCAACTATAACAGTTTTCACCATCGCCAACAGGTAAGAATGAGGGTGTGTTTGGTTTTGTCGATTTCCTTATATCTTTGCTAATATGTAATTATTTGACTATAAATAGGTATGGAGACTTCATACGGGCGGGATGGAGGAACATCCTGGATTGCATATTAAAACTCCACAAACTCGGGCTTCTCCCAGCCCGAGTTGCGAGCGATGCAGCAGATGACTCGGAACTCTCATCCGAACCTGGCCACGGAAAGCCCTTAACAAACTCCTTATCCTCATCCCACATGCCATCGATCGGGACCCCACGGCGCTCATCTGGGCTCATGGGCCGCTTCAGTCAACTCCTCTCGCTCGACACAGAAGAACCCCGTCTCCAACCCACCGAACAACAACTCGCAGCCCATCAACGCACCCTCCAAACAATCCAAAAATGTCACATCGACAGCATCTTCACCGAAAGCAAATTCCTCCAATCCGATTCCTTACTCCACCTCGCACGCGCCCTCATTTGGGCCGCCGGCCGCCCCCAAAAGGGCAACAACTCCCCCGAAGACGAAGACACCGCCGTCTTCTGCCTCGAGCTTCTCATCGCCATCACGCTAAACAACAGGGACAGAATCGTAATTTTATGGCAGTGGGTTTACGAACATATCGCCGGTATCGTCCAAACAACTGTCATGCCATGCGCGTTAGTCGAAAAAGCCGTTTTTGGACTCTTGAGAATTTGTCAACGGCTCTTGCCTTATAAGGAGAATTTAGCCGACGATTTGTTGCGTTCGCTTCAACTTGTTTTGAAACTCGACGCACGTGTGGCGGATGCATACTGCGAGCAGATAACGCAGGAGGTGAGTCGGTTGGTGAAGGCGAACGCGAATCATATCCGGTCGCAAATGGGGTGGAGGACGATTACGTCGTTACTCTCGATAACCGCGCGTCATCCGGAAGCTTCCGAGGTCGGATTCGACGCGCTCCTTTTTATAATGTCCGACGGGGCGAACCTCATCCCTACGAATTTCATAACGTGCGTCGACGCTGCTCGGCAGTTTGCCGAGTCACGCGTCGCACATGCGGACCGGTCGGTCCGCGCGCTCGACCTCATGTCGGGGTCAATCGTGTGTCTGACCCAGTGGGCCCACGAGGCCCAAGAAGCAATGGGGGAGACGGATTCTGCAAAAACATGTCAAGATATCGGTGATATGTGGTTGAGACTCGTGCAAAGTTTGAGGAAAGTTTGTTTGGATCAAAGGGAGGAAGTGAGAAACCATGCGTTGACTGCTTTAGAAATGTGTTTGACTGGGGTTGACCAGGTCAACATCCAGCCCGGGGTTTGGTTACAGTGTTTTGACATGGTGATTTTCACGGTGCTTGATGATCTATTGGAAATATCGCAAGGGCATTCTCAGAAAGACTTTAGGAACATGGAGGGAACCCTGGTTTTGGGTTTGAAGCTTCTTTCGAAAGTGTTTTTGCAAATGCTTCCGGAACTTTCACAGGTGACGACTTTTTGTAAACTTTGGTTGGGTGTTCTTAGTCGGATGGAAAAATATTTAAAAGTTAAAGTGAGAGGTAAAAAGAACGAAAAGCTTCAAGAATTAGTCCCTGAGCTTTTGAAGAACACTTTGATTGTTATGAAGAACAAAGGGGTGTTGGCACAAAGAAGCGCGCTAGGTGGCGATAGCTTGTGGGAGCTGACGTGGCTTCATGTGAATAATATCGCGCCGTTGATTCAATCGCAAGTTTTCCCGGATGAAAATGGAAATGGAAATGGAACCGGGACAGAAGAAAGTGGATGATATGTTAGGTGTCACGGTTTGAGTTTTTGGACTGTTTTGTCTGTAGTGGTGTAAATTTTGTTAGGTTTAGTGGGATGTTGATTTGATGTTTGGAAATGGGTGAAGGTTGGGAAGGAGATTGATGGTGTTTATGTCGGCGGTTAATTGTGATAAATGACGGCAGGAAAAACTGGAATTTTACAATGTAAAGAATGTGTTTTACAACGTGATTCGTTAATGAATGTGGGATGTTTGTTACTTGTTAGTGCCGTTGTTGCATACTAATTTGTGTAAACTATATTATATGTAATGAATTGTATTTTTCGTTAGGAGAATAATGTTTTTTTTTTTTTCTTCTTTTGGGTATGTGTATCCTTTCCTGATTAATATTTTATTAATTAATGTGAAGAAAATCCTAAGAGCATCTCTAAACCATTTTTTTTTTTTTTCTAATTATTTTCAACCCTCCCCTATAAATAATATTACACCAAATATGATAAATTGGAATGAATTTTGTATTGTCGGTTTTAGTTTTTTTTTTTTTTTTTTTTTTTTTTTTTTTTTTAATATATTTATATATTTCTAGTTTATTTTTATATATTAATTATAATTTAAATGTAAGTTATAATATTTTGTTATATATTAAATTATATTAATTATTTATAAATATAAAATTTATTTTTTGTTCATCAAATTTTTATAAAAAGTTAAATACATATTAAAATTTTAAAAAACAATAATGTATTTTACAAAAACTTATAAATGTGTTATAAATATAATCTTATTTATTTAATATTATTGTAATGAAAAAATATAGATTATATATTTGTTAAAACCAAATTAATAGAAGGGGTGTGTGTGATAATTTATGTAAGTTAGAAGAATGAAATAGTTTAGGAATATATTTTTTTGAATTAAAAAATAAAATAAAAATATTAACTAAGGTTAAAAATGAAATACTATTTACTTTATATTTTATTTTATTTTTGAAATAAAAATAAAAATGAGTTATAGATGGTCTAAGTACAAATGTAAGTTTCAAGAGTTCATTAGGTCATGGTGCGATTATATTCTATTTCAATAAATAAAAAAATAAATATATTTAAGAGTATTTTTTCCAATAATTAAATAAAAAATGTTATAAATATATTTAAGAGTATTTATTGTCCATTAATCAAGATGCTTTTAACTAGTTTTAAGATGTTGGATGTCTTTATCAATGGCATGAATTATTTGGAACTTCAGTCTTGTTTTTTGTTGGTATTTGAACTTTAAACCAAGTGCTGCTATAATCAATCATTAAATTATGGCATTTTATGATTTGTTTATATTACCATGCTAATAGGTTTCATTCAAGTATTTGTCTGTCGTTTCTATATCATTTTATTTCTTTTACATTTTGATGCAGTTAAATATATAGTAAGTCCGATCTTTAAAAATCTAAAACCAACACAAGTTATTCCAAACAAGTTTGGTTCAATTATTTGGTTTTATGAGATCTTTCTTTTAATCCTGCACGCACTACACATTCATATTTAATAAACTACAACCAATCACATTTTTATATTATGATGTAATGTAATTTAATAATTCAAATATTATAATAAGAGTAGATTAGAGTTTTGGTCCCTGTAGTACACACCAATCTGCACGTTTGGTCCTAGTTTTAGAAAATTTGACACTATAGTAATTTGCTCTTATTATAGTAATCATGTGACCTTATACTCACAAAAATAATATACATATCAAAATAACCTCTACTTAATATTTAAACTAACATACCTGAACTCTTAAATATTCATCACCAATTAACAATATTAAATTATTAATGCAATATCTGAAACAACTGTATTTATAACCAACTGTTTCTCATTTACTATACACACAGTAAAAGAATTTAAGGATTTGTTTTTTTTTTTTTTTTGAATTTTGGTAAATTAAAAACCCCGACACGTTACTGATTTCAGCTCCAGCTGTAGCATCTTCTTTCTACTGCACAATCAAGAATTCTTCTGACCAATATACGACTCGTAAACCTTTCGTAAAGACTACTCATTCATCTTCGTCTTGCGCGATCGTTGTTCTTTCAACTTTAATCAATCGGCATGTAAGGGAATGAAAGATCTGGATTTGAGTAGAAAATTAGGTTTTCTCGCAATCAAATAGCAAAATGAGTGTTTCTCTCACTGTAATGACCTTCAATCTTCTTGAAGATCAGCCAGACGATAGTTCAAATTGTTGGGAAAAGAGGAAAGATTTGTGTGTTAGTGTTATCACTAGTTACTCTCCAATCATCCTCTGCACTCAACAAGGTGAGCTCGTTCGTTTGTTTATATATGTTGCAGATCTTTAAAATACCTGTTCTTGATTCGTTCGATTTTGAAATATGATTGACTATGTTGGTCTTGATTGATTTTTGATTTCGAAATGGGGTTTGTTTCTACGAGTTTTTTGAAATTGTTTCTTTTTGAATTCGTAGGCGTGAAGTCTCAATTGGAGTATCTTCAACAATGCTTGCCAGGTAATACTTCCAGTTACATTTTGATTACTGTTTTATCTTAATTTGATATTTATATAAATTGTTAAATTCTGCTGTTTTGGTTGTACATATGATTTGCTTGCATATAATTGAAATCAATCAATCAATCCCCATTTATAAGATTAAAAGTTTTAATCAATTTAATCTCTAATCTTTTAACTATGATTTTTCTAAATTGATTGTGATAGTTTGGTGTTTGCTTAATAGAGAAAGCCAGAGAAATGACACTTTTTCCATTAAGCCCTAACTTTTTACAAATTTGCCCTCATAAATTGTTGTTAAACATCCAAGGGTATGAGCAATTTGGGATTTCAAGAAAAGGATCCGAAGATGTTTCAGATCAGTATTGCACCATTTTCTATGACAAGGAAAAGGTAATACTTTGTGTACTTCTTTCACATAATTCCTTAATATCTCTACTTTTGTTTATAATAATTAAATTTTTTTCTCTCATATTTTATTTTATAAAAGGTGGAGTTATTAGAAGGAGGAACATTTTGGTTATCAGAATCCCCTTCTGTTCCTGGAAGCATGTCATGGGGGAGTGAATCTCCTTCCATCGCCACATGGGCAATATCCTTTTCAAGCATATAATATAAATACAATAAGTATGGTTAAATTTTGAAAAACATTTGAATAAATGTTTTTTTGTTTCTTTAACAAAAAAATCTCTACACGTTTCAAATGAAAGGAATAGAGCCACCTGGTTTTTCATTCCAAATAGTGAACACAAACATGGACGAAATTAGCCCTCGTGCTCGTAGGCGAAGTGCATTGCTGACGTGGCAGCATATTGCTTCATTACCTCCTAGCTTGCCAGTTGTATATTGTGGAGGTTTTAATACACAAAAAGAGTCCACCACAGGACGCTTTCTTTTGGGGAGATCAAGGTAATGGAATGGAATAAGAAAGGAATGGAATGATGAAGGAATGGAATGGGTAGAGTAATGTAATGGAAGAATCTACCAATTTAGCTGTGAAAATTGGTTTGTATTTGGATGACATTGTTATAACTACGTAGATTCTTCAAAGTACAATAAAAAAGTGAAAATAGATAGCTATAATAAGTAAATCAACAAAAGTACTATTTCTTGCCTTTGACCCTTCAAATATTTAAGAAAATCCATATTAGCTTTTTAGTTTGACCTTGAAGAAGTCAAAGAACTAACATTTTCCCCTTTGTTTAGAGAACATGGTGTGGTAGGTGATATGAGAGATGCATGGCCTAACGCCCGATTGAGAAAAAATGTGTCTCTTATACGCACGTTTCATGGATTTAAAGGTATCATACATTTTTCTTTATAATTTATAATTTATATCAATCTCAACTGTTTTTCTAAGGGTGTAAGCCCCCTTTTTCTTTCTTTTTACTATTAAATGAGCAAATGACCATTTTACCCTTCTGTCATCATTAAGTTAAAAAGAATCATTAAGTTAAAAAGAAACTACACCTAAGTCAACCCAAGGAGTATGTTTGTGTGCGCACAAAGACTTTTGTGTATGGACCGAATGAAGTCTTTGAATATGAGAAAATGACCATCTTACCCTTCAATCTGTACAAACTTCATATTGTAGGCAACAAACAAGGAGCTGTTGAGTTTTTTAAGTTGATTTTTCGTGCACTTTGCTTGTGTTGGGATCGACAAACGCAAGATTTGCATGTAGATTGGATCCTGTTTAGGGGAAGATCATTGGTGCCTGTTTCATGTGAAGTTGTGAATGATAATATTGATGGTCAATACCCGTCTTCTCATTATCCAATCTTTGCTGAATTCATGCTTCCAAGAACAGTCAGACTCATGGATCCGCCACCTGTCCAAGAAGATGCAACTTCACCGGTTTCTTGATTTTTTTGTTTGTTTATATTTGTTCAACTTATTTGCTTCATTGCTTGATGTTTCTTTCTTGATACCAAATGTTATTTGCAATTCTTGGAAATTTTGTGGGATTTGATTGAAATTTCTCGACTCCATTTTTACCTTCTTTCTGTCCTGAAATTTGATTGATGAACACAAGTTGTAGGATAAAAGTGTAATTATATGATTGATAATTCAACAGATATTATGTGATTGATAACTAAATGAGACTTGCAATTTGTAGGAATCAGAAAAGAAAATGATAATTGGGCAATGTTCACATAAGATTTCCATTCTGTTGACATGTAATTACTTGAACCTTTCAAAAAATAATAAGTAGTCAATAGGCTTCAAATAATATCACGTTTAATATGACATAGTATTTACTATTTAATGAGTAATAATCAATATCGACAATGGCTTTTAGTTTATGACAAAAAAAAAAATAATAATAATAATAAAAATAAAAAAAACCCTTAGACAAGTGTAAAGGAAAATCAAAACCATCATGAGATGAAGATCAAGATTGGGACTCAATTGACGCAAGGATTAGGTCGTGGTTCTACTCAACTTGGGATCCGAATCGACTGTAGATTATTTCAAGTGACAACTGCACTGCTAATTACTAGAGAGCTTTGGGTTATGCTTGAATTTCTTAAACAAAAATGTCAATGCTGCTCCAACTTCAAGATCAATTTTGCAACGTAAAGTAAAGGGCTTCCAATATTATTGATTTATATCATTCTTTAAGAATCTAGTTGATGCTCTTTTCGATGTGGACTCTCCGATAATGAAGTCGAATGACAACTACTGCCATTTTAATATCTTATCACAACATCACCAAAACTAAATTGTTCTCATCATTCTTGGAAGCAAGGTATCTGCTTCTTTTGCTTGAAGCACATGAAGAAAATTCACAACACTACTATACCCCCACCCTCTCCTCCAACTCGACACTCTAATCTACTACCTTAAACCGTGGGAAATCTAAAAATAAGTGGGCAAAAAATTGTAACAATGGTAAGGGTGCTTAAGGGAGTTATTCCCTCCCAACCCATTGAACCCAAAGTCACATCAATTTTTGTCTCTTTTTTTTCTTCATCTCTTCCAACCCACAACATACGAAAATCCTATCTTTTTCAACTCACTCAATTAAAAAAATACAAAACAACTAAGATACAAATTTTAAAAAACATGGTACAAGAGAAAATGAGAGAGAGAGAGAGAACGTAGAGAGAGATGATGAAGTGGGTTAGTGAAACCAATTAAACAACTCGTTGAAGCGGGAGTGGTACCGACGGTAACTCTATTGCTAATTAAGATTTTACCTTGATTGTTTTGTATTTTTTTAATTGAATGGGTTGAGTGAGTTCAAAAAGATAATGTTTCTGTGTGTTGTGGGTTGGGGAAGATGAAAACAAATAAAAGAGAAAAAAATGATGTGGCAGTGGGTTCAGTGGGTCGGGGGGGGGGAATAACTCTCTCCTCTCTAATGGTTCCACTAATGTTGATCCTTTTGCAGGAGATCTTCAATCACGTGCAAATCAACATACATGAATTTTTCTACCCAAACGACATTTACCAAAGAAATTCTCAAACGGACTGACATATGCACGTGTTACCCTGAAATACATCCTATAGAAACCAAACTTTCCGCCAAAGGTAAATTGATAATGACCAATTCGAGGGGGCCAATCTCCAAAAGAATAAAACTAGAATACACACGTGAAGCAATTTTCTGTTTTTCATATATCCTACTAATGCAGATTACAACTCATATAAATATGCACTACTTAGCTAAAAACTAGGAAACAAATGGTCATGGACCTTAGGCATGCATGACTACGTGGACTACTATCATGCAACTACCACTAAGAATAAGGAATGACTAAATCAACCAATTAATAAACTAGCTAGGCACGACCAAGTCAATGTGTGTTCGTATCAATACTTCCTCCCTGAAAAGGGCCTTATCCTCAAGGCCAAAATCATTTTGTGCCATGTAAGGCCATGATGGTTCGTTCGCTGATTGAAGAAGAAGGAATTTTGGTGGGTTGCATTGGTGGCCCGGTTGATATTTGGTTGGACAATTGTAACAAACGCCTTCAGCCCGACGCTTTTGCATTTCAGTGGGGCTCAACTTCTTGATCGGAAGTGGTGGAGTAGTAGGAGGAGGGGCAGCCAACAAAGGTGTGTTCGTTGGTGGAGAGTCGGGGATAAGACTAGAAGACTGAAATTGGTGATGAAGCTTGTCTGCAACTAGTTTGGCAAGACCGTATACTTGATGGAGAGACATGGGGTGGTGCAATGCGATCTCATTTTGGATGTCTGCACGAAGACCAGATAGGAAGCAATTCAACAAAGCTTCGGGTCCAAGATCCGTCACCCGATTACTAAGCTTCTCAAATTCCGATTGGTACGCCGAGACAGTTGTGGTTTGTTGGAGTTTAAACAATGTAGCCTGGTGATTCTCATATGTGGAGGGGCCGAAACGGAGCTCTAGAGCTCGGGAAAACTCCTGCCACGTCCCAAGTAAGTGATGGTTGGCGAGATATTTATACCAACTCAAGGCATCACCGGTGAAATAGAAAACAAACAAAGAAAGTCGTTGAGGAGGAAGAATGGCATAGTATGTGAAGTAATTCTCATCTTGGAAAATCCAATCGAGTGGGTTAGAGCCATCAAAGTTGGGAAGTTGTATCTTGGGTGGTCGTGGTTGGTGATTGGGTGGTCGTGGTGGTGGCGGAGGAGGCGGTGGTGGAGCCAGTGCCCGGTTATTGTTGTTGGTGGTGAGGAGTTTGACAATGTTGTTCATGGTGTCGGATTGTGAAACAAGATGAGTGGTGATGGTGTCTAGGCGGTTGTTGGTGGCGGTGGTGAGGTGGATTAAAACATGTAGTTGATCGTTGAGGGCGGCATTGGGTTTGTCAGGGTTCATCTTGGGGTTATCGGAGGTGGAGCCGGACTCGGTTTTTGGAGGCATTGAGATGATGATGAAAGCACCAATTGATAATGACCAATTCGAGGAGGTCAGTCTCAAAAAGAATAAAACGAGAATACAAACGTGAAACAATTTTATGTTTTTCATATATCCTACAAATGCAGATTACAACTCATATAAATATGCATTACTTTGCTAAAAACTAGGAAACAAATGGTCATGGACCTTAGGCATGCAAGACTACGTGGACTACTATCATGCAACTACCACTAAGAATAAGGAATGACTAAATCAACAAATTAATAAACTAGCTAGGCACGACCAAGTCAATGTGTGTTCGTATAAAAAACCTACTGAGGATCGTAGGGGGTCTGCAATATTTGACTTTCACTCGTCCAAATATATCCTATGTGGTTCAAAAAATCTACCTTCATATGCAAAATCCTCGTGAACCTCATTTCCTTTCCTAAAACGATTCTTTGTTATCTTCATGGCACCTTGATGCATGGTCTTCATCTTCTTTTGGCGACTGTCGATCCAGTAGTTTTTTATTCTTATGCTAAGATGCTAACTGGGTGTGTTTTTCTCGAACACATCGTTATATTCGGGTTTTGTGTCTTTTTAGGTGACAACCTTATGTTGTGGTCTTCCAAGCGCCAATATGTTTTCTCCGGATCCAATATCGAAGATAAGCTCATGAGATAGCTAATGTGGCTACTGAAGATGCATGGATTCTTAACCTTCTTCTTAGGTCTCAAGGTATCGTATCCTCTCTATGGTATGATGGTTGCTCTTTATTACAATGTTAGTGCCATTTACTTAGCTTCTAATCGGATTCAGCACCAAAGAACCAAACAATTTGAAAAAAAGAAAAAAATTCACATTTTAACGTGTTAGTGATAGGACATGTATGTTCCTTCGGGTTCACCATTTTGGCATATATGTTTACAAAGGGCCTGCTAACTTTAATTTTTTTAGACTCTAGAAACACTTTGAGTATACATGAACCTCCCTCCTTACACCGAGGACTGTGTTCATTATAGATATACATTTTATTCATTTTTCAGAGTGGACTCCTTTGTAACTTTGTCTATTATACATGGTCGGCATTAATACAACATAAAGCCTAACCCGGATTTTCCACTATCCAACAAGAAGTAACTCTTTTTGGCCGGTTTGCAACAACTTTGGAGATGATCTTGGCGAGACATAGACTAATGGACTAATAGTCTTTTTCAAATTGGAATTGTCTCTAACCTTGGGAATAATTGAAATAAAAGAGGCATTGCAACCTCTAAACATCCGGTGGCGGAGCCAATACATTACTAGTGGGGTGCATGGACCCCACTTAAATATGGGTCCCACCAGTTATATACATAAAAAAAGGTAAAAAAAATTAAAAAAAGTTTCAAGTTCATGGTCCCACTGAAAATTCATCTGCATACACTTACCTCCCATTTGAAAGCTCAAAAGCTTAACAACTTTTTTTTTTCTTTTCCTTTTTCGATCTTCATCAAAATCACCCCTCTTCTTTCATCTTCCTTAAACCTAGCCGCTCATTTACCATGCTTCTATTGTCATTGCCAAAGATTGGATGGAATCAGATCGGTCAACAGGTTGGTCAACACTGCTCAACAGTCAGCGGTCAATAGAACGATCAACGGTCAACAGTGCACCCCACTTGAGTTCCGGATTAGATCCGCCACTGTTCTAGACATCTCACTGTTATCTTGAAAACTCTATAAAACCAAACTATCAAATCGTTAGATATATTAAAGTATCAAATCAAAATATAGCAACCAAATTATGATAAGATAAAATTGTTTTGCATTAAATGACATTAATATAACTTGATATATCGAAAAAAAATACGATAATCGGAAAATCATTTAATATAAATACTTTAAGCCCTACTGGTATGCTTACAACGAACACATCCGTGGTCTATGTGGCCATGCACAACTATTGTGAAACACCACCCCATATCTTTAGTGCTGACTAGTGGTGGAAAGAAATCGTGATCAATTGTGATGGGGAGGACGAACCACCATACCCAATGAACTTTTTTCTCTTTCTATATCTCTATCTACATTTTCATTAATTAAAATATGAATATTTTTATTTTAATAATAAAAAAATAAGAGAGATGTAAGGATAGGTATCCCGACATTTTAATGGTTGAATGTCATGACTCATGATGAGTTTACATTCATTATTAAAATGGTTCGTAATAAGTATAACGGATGATGTATTTTTTTTTTACGACAAATAATCCAAAACCTCCTAGTTAATAATTAAGTTAGAATCTTCATGCTAGCCAAGTGGGTTAGCCCGGATGGCCTAATAGTAAAAAAGTTAAGACAAAAACGTTTGTATTTATCTACACCGTTGAAAAATAAATTTCTAGAAACGACACATGTGAAGTCAAAGCTTTGTAACTTTTCTTTTTGTTGAAAGGAGGGAAGATTTCATATTTGTTTAAAGAGGGATAGATCGAAAGACTCCAAAACCGTAGATCACAACCTGCCACCGGCGCAAAACAAATCCAAAACCGTCGATCACAACCTGCCTCCCAAGAAAAATAATACGTGCCAGTACTAGTAGTTAAATGTCACTCATCTTCGTCATCATGCTGAATCTAGGTTTGCCATCAAAAACGAAATTCTCAGAGAGAATACGTACAGATTTACATACAGAATCATACACATTAAGCCGTGGTTTATATGCATACACACATATACAGGAGGAGAGAATTGGAGGCATTGATTTACGGATTTTAACAACGAGATATAAGATCGTTCGGTTGATTCCATGGCTGATACAACGCATCACTTACGGATCTGCGTTTTTCTTCTTCTGTCAATCCATGGATGCTCCTTCTACCTCCCTGGTGTCGCTCCACAGGATTTTTACAAGGCAAGTAACCTTTTCTGATACCTACATAGATACGCGCCTTCCAGTTTTAAAAATTTTATTTATTACACCTGGTGATTGCAATTGATTCTGTTCTTTTCATCGTTAAGGTTTTCATTAATCAGATCTCTCCGTTCAAATTAAGTAATAATTTCAGTTATTGAAGAGTAAATCACTCTGATCAGCTCCAATTACTTTCAAATCAGTGTTTTCACAATGGTATTTTGTTGCTGATCTCGATTTTCATGAGTCCTGAAATCACGATCATCCTTTCACACGAATTGAGTGCATTTTGCTTTAATGCTTGATAGCTGAAAAATGGAGATCTTGTTATTATCATTAAGCATCTTAGTTTTTGAATCTATATCGCAGGGGGATATCCTGAAGGTAAAAGTAAACAAACTGTCTTCCACAAAAACTCAACTCCCTTATCTTTACTATTCCATCCCTTATTGTCGTCCCCAACAAATAGTTGATAGTGCAGAGAATTTAGGGGAAGTTCTTCGTGGTGATCGCATAGAAAATTCCCCTTATGAGGTAACCAAAACTTCTTCCATATATCATTATGCAATTCATCTTCTTCTTATCTTTATATCTGCAAACCTCTTAGTTCTTACCCAAATTATCCTTTACAGTTCAAAATGCGAGTTCCACGAATGTGCAATATTGTGTGTCGCATAATACCAAATGAAAGAACATCCAGAGAATTCAAGCAAAAAATAGACGATGAGTATCAAGTCAACATGTGAGACTCTTGTTAAATCACACATGTTAATCACATTTTGTTAATTTTCAATCTTTTTTTACAGGATCTTGGATAATCTACCTCTGGTTGTTCCCATAACAAAATCAGAACAAGAACAGGATTCTCATGTCCAATATCATCATGGATATTTTGTTGGTCACAAAGTATGGTATGCAGGAGTGAGTAAACAACTGTTTTTTTAGTAACTTGAATAATTAATTAATTCCAACTTCATATCATCATATGTATCATCTCTGACTTGTGACTTAAAATTTATCATCATGTAGATGAAGGAAGACAGGTATTTAATCAACAACCATCTAACATTCACAGTCAAGTTTCACAAAGATCCAGAATTCGAATATGCAAGAATTGTAGGATTTGAAGTTAAACCTTTCAGGTGATATGATATTTATATATAATTCTCATCAAATTTTACTTTTTGGAGGTTAATTATTTATTATCCACACACTTTTTTGTGTTTTTTTGTGCAGTGTTAAGCATCAGTATGATGGTGAATGGAGTGATGATACTCGCCTGACAACCTGCGACCCTCATGCCAAAAAATTGGTCGCCGGAGTCGATCCACCACAAGAAATTGAAGACAAAAAGGAGATCATCTTCACTTACGATGTTGAATTCCAGGTAAAATTTTAAGAACAGAGCCCAGAGATATGAACACAAATTTAAGATTTTTATTTTAAAAGTTAAATTCGATTGATTTCTAGGAGAGTGATGTTAAATGGGCATCAAGATGGGACACATATCTTCTAATGCCCGATGATCAAATCCACTGGTTTTCGATCGTGAATTCCCTCATGATTGTTCTTTTCTTATCGGGAATGGTCGCCATGATCATGTTAAGAACACTTTATCGCGACATCTCTAATTACAACAAACAAGAAGAAGAATCAAAATTCGAACAAGAAACCGGATGGAAGCTCCTCCACGGAGACGTTTTCCGGCCACCTGTAAACTCCGATCTCCTCTGCGTCTACGTCGGAAGCGGAGTTCAATTCTCCGGTATGATTCTCGCCGCGATGATCTTCGCTCTCCTCGGGTTCCTCTCACCTTCAAACCGCGGCGGTCTCATGACGGCCCTCCTCCTCCTCTGGGTCCTCATGGCGGTCTTCGGCGGCTACGCCACCACTCGCCTCTACAAATCATTCAAAAAATCAAACTGGAAAACAATCACTCTCAAAACCGGTGTTATGTTCCCGGGAGTCATCTTCGTCATGTTCTTCATCCTAAACGCCCTAATTTGGGGGGAGAAATCCTCCGGCGCCGTTCCCTTCTCCACGATGTTCGCTTTGGTGTTCTTATGGTTTTGCATCTCCGTGCCACTGGTGTTCGCCGGCGGTTACATCGGTTTCAGAAAACCGGCGATCGAAAATCCGGTGAAAACGAATAAAATCCCCCGGCAAATCCCTGAACAACCCTGGTATACGAGATCCACTTTTTCGATTCTAATTGGTGGTGTTCTTCCATTTGGGGCTGTTTTCATCGAGCTTTTTTTCATTTTGACCTCGATCTGGTTACATCAATTTTATTATATTTTTGGTTTTCTTTTTATTGTTTTGATTATTTTGTTGGTGACGTGTGCTGAGGTGACGATCGTGCTGTGTTATTTCCAGCTGTGTAGTGAAGATTATGAATGGTGGTGGAGGTCGTATCTGACGTCAGGTTCGTCGGGTATTTATCTTTTTATATATTCGATTATGTATTTTTTGACGAAGCTTAATATTACCAAGGGTGTTTCGGGTATTTTGTATTTTGGATACATGTTCATTGCGTCTTATTGTTTTTTTGTTTTGACGGGTACGATTGGTTTTGTTGCTTGTTTTTGGTTTACAAGAGTTATTTACTCTTCGGTTAAGATTGATTAGTGTTGAGCTTTAATGCTTTATGTTGTACTTGTATTATTATATATTATATTTGGACTTATAGAATTATTATTATGAAGCCTTTTTCTTTTCCGTAAAGATCTAAATTGGTAAGAGGGAATGGATTCTAGTTTAGAAACAAGAATGCAACTCGTTGATTAATCGGAAACTAACTCAAAACCGATGTTTACAATCTGCTCTCTAAATCATTAACTCGATCTAGACATTGTAATTATAGATTCTAAATACTGTCATGTAAGTGGAATTGTATTAGGACTAATGACCAACTTGCCATATATTCCTAATTACTTGGTCTCCAAGTGTTTTGGTCTACACGACTTAGGATTCCAACAATTACCCCTGAATCTCTAAAGAAGATTGTGATCTGTATTTCGTAAGGAATAAAGAAGTACAGGGCCTTAATTTATACTAGAGCATATCTCACTAATCTAGGCAACTATTTAAACATGGAAATTATACACCTTGATTTACTCCTAATTGACAGCCTAATATACAGCTAATTTACAGTTAATTTTCAACACTCCCCCTCAAGCTGGAGCGTACAAATTGTATGTTCCAAGCTTGTTACAAATATAATTAATCCTTGGCCCTGCGAGAGACTTTGTGAATATGTCTGCTAGTTGATCATTTGACTTGACAAAACTTGTAGCAATCTCCCCTGAAAGAATTTTCTGTCGAATGAAATGGCAATCAATCTCTATGTGCTTGGTTCGTTCATGAAAGACCGGATTTGATGCAATATGAAGGGCAGCTTGATTGTCGCATATCAATTGCATCCGTTGAACCTTTATAAGTTTCAACTCTTCAAGGAAATGCTTCATCCATATAAGCTCACATGTTGCTTTTGCCATGGCTCGATATTCGGCTTCGGCAGTTGATAAAGCAACTACAGACTGTTTCTTGCTTTTCCATGAAACAAAATTACCCCCAATAAAAACGCAATACCCTGTGGTTGAGCGTCTTTCAAATGGACAACCTGCACCATTAGCATCTGTATAGCTTACTACTTGAGTGTTTCCTTTGTTCTCATATAATAGGCCCTTTCCCGGAGTTTTCTTAATGTATCTCAAAACCCGGACGACTGCATTCCAGTGGCTGTCACATGGCGTACTCAGGAATTGGCTAAGGACACTCATCGGGAACGTTATATCAGGACGAGTTACCGTGAGGTAGTTAAGTTTGCCAATAAGCCTTCGATATTTGCTTGGGTCTGATAAGGGCTCCCCTTGATCTGGAAGCAGCTTGACATTTGGATCCATTGGACTGTCTACAGGTTTGCAATCAGTCATGCCGATTTCTTTCAAAATATCCAATGCATACTTTCGTTGGGAGATAAAGACACCCTGTTGGGATTGTGCCACTTCTATTCCCAAGAAGTACTTGAGTTTTCCCAAATTTTTTGTCTCAAAGTGCTGGAATAGATGTTGCTTGAGCTTCTGAATTCCATCCTGATCATTCCCGGTAATCACGATGTCATCAACATAAACAACCAAATATATGCAATGGTTAGAGGAGTAACGATAGAAGACAGAATGATCAGTCTCGCTCCGCTTCATACCAAATTTTTGAAGGACCGAGCTAAAGCGACCAAACCATGCTCGTGGGGATTGTTTAAGCCCATAAAGAGAACGCCTCAGTCGACATACCAATTTAGACTCCCCCTGAGCAACAAACCCAGGAGGTTGCTCCATATAAACTTCTTCTTGCAACTCCCCATGTAAGAAAGCATTTTTTATATCCAACTGGTAGAGAGGCCATTGATGAATTGCAACCATGGAAAGAAAAATCCGTATGGAAGTCATTTTAGCAACTGGTGAGAACGTGTCACTATAATCAAGCCCATAAACTTGCGTATAGCCTTTAGCAACCAACCGTGCTTTTAACCGGTCTATATTTCCATCAGGATTGACTTTAAACCCAACGACAACCGACTGTCGATTTTCCTGGAGGAAGCGGAACCAAATCCCACGTACCTGTAGAGTGCAATGCATTCATCTCATCAACCATTGCTTGTCTCCATCGCGGGTCTGTAAGAGCCTCCCTTAGATTTTTAGGAGTGGAAACAGAAGATAAAGACGATACAAAGGCAGTATACGAAGGGGATAAACGATGGTAGCTCAAGAAATTATAGATTGGATAAGGATTACGAGTGGAACGAGTACCTTTCCGTTCAGCTACGGGATGGTCTAGATCAGGATCCAACACAGAAGGCGTGATCGGCGTAGGAGGTGAGTCCGGTAGGCTTGTATCATCAGGTTCACTCAAAGGTTCTGTTGTAGGTGAAACCATGTGCTCAGAAGGATGTTCACCGGAAGAAGAGTCAGTCGGTTGGGCCGGCCGACGTCGATGGTAAGTACGCAAAGGTGGCGGTGCATTTGTGATAGGATCCACGGGTGGTGATGAATCATTGATTGGATTTGTGATCGGATGCTCAGAGTGGAAGTTTGGTGGTTTCTGTGGATCATCTTCACGGACAAAATCAAGAGAGCACTTACTGCGGTCGGTATGACCGAAGAATGGGGTAGTTTCAAAGAAGGTTACATCAGCGCAAATGAGATGTCGTCCAAGATCAGGAGAGAAACATTTATAACCTTTTTATGTTCGAGAATAACCCAAGAAGATACATTTGAGAGATTTTGCGCGTAGTTTATCTTTTCCGGGTGTGAGATCATGGACAAAACATGTGCAACCAAAGACACGAGGTGGAAGGGAAAACATTGGTTGAGTGGGAAATAATAAAGAATGAGGGATTTGATTTTTTAACACCGAAGAAGGCATGCGATTAATTAGGTAGCATGCTGTGAGAACGGCATCTCCCCAAAAATGCAGCGGAACATTGTTATGAAGAAGGAGAGTACGTGTTGTTTCGATCAGGTGTCTAATTTTCCGTTCAGCCACTCCATTCTGTTGTGGGGTATGTGCACATGAAGATTGATGAATTATACCCTCTGAGGTCATGAATGATTGAAAAGGAGTTGAAAAATACTCTTTTGCATTGTCACTTCGGAGGATACGTATGGGAATACCGAATTGAGTTTTAATTTCAGAACAAAAGGACTTGAAGATAGAAAATAATTCAGATCTATTTTTCATTAAGAATAACCAAGTACACCTTGAGTAATCATCAATGAAGGTGACAAAATAATTAAAACCCAAATGTGATGTAACACGGCTAGGACCCCACACATCTGAATGAACTAAAGCAAAAGGAGATTCAAACTGTTTTATTGACTCGACTAGGAAATGAATTACGAGTATGCTTTCCCAACTGACAAGACTCACACTCCAATGAAGACAGCTTTGCAAGGTTGGGTACCAAATTTTGTAACTTTGAAAGGCTAGGATGTCCCAAACGATGATGAATAATGGTAGGAGAATCAGTTGCAATACATGTGGGTGAAGAAGGTGGTGTGAGGTAATATAGCCCATGGAACTCACGTCCTACACCAATCGTCCTCCCAATGTTTCGATCCTGCACAAGAAACAAATCATCCAAAAATGTGACTTTATATGGTGGGGTTTTAGCTAGTTTACTAACAGAAATAAGGTTGAATGGACAACCAGGTACAAAAAGGACATCAAGAGATAATGAAGGCACAGGTTGGGCTTGTCCAATGCCTGTAGCTTTAGTCTGTGAGCCATTAAACATGGTAATATAGGATAATGTATTCGAGTATGTAATATTAGAGAATAAATTTGTGTTACCAGACACATGTTCGGTAGCACCTGAATCAATCACCCAAGGACCCAGTGGGGATGATTGAGATATGCAAGCAATAGGAGATTGTTTTTCTTCTCGTAGTTTCAGGAGTTCTTCATAATCAGCAGCAGAGATAGACACATTGCCTAGCGGGGTCCCCTCATGTGCAACATTAGCTATCTTAGGTGGTTTAAGCTGAAAGCATCGGTCAATTGTATGACCAATCTTATTGCAATGACTGCATCGAGGCCGGTTTCTATTTCCTCGACCACGGTTGCCTCCCTCCTTAGATGCAACAAGAATTGCAGAATCAATGATGTTGGAACCGGTAGTGATGTTTGTTGGCGCTGAAATACGAACTAGCTGCTCAAAAACATTATCAAGATTTAGAATCCCAGGAGTAGCTAAGATTTGGTTACGAACAGACTCAAGATCTGGACGTAATCCTGCAAGTGCAAGAACCACAAAGAATTTTCCACGTTGCTCTTCTTGCAATTCGATATTCGTAGAGAATGGCATTAGCTCATTGAACTCTTGTCGGATAGTCTCTATGTTCCCAAGATAGGTTTGCATATCCTGTTCTTGTTGCATGATTTTCTTCATATTTGAGACCACTGTGTATAAACGATTGATATCGTTCGAGTAGAGTTTCTTTGCTTTCTGCCAAACCTCGTAGCAAGAGCGATACGATCGGTATTGAGCAACAATCGTTCGATCTATAGAATTCCAGAGAGCATTACAGAGGAAGGCGTCAATCTGCTTCCACTTGGATTGGTCTTTGACATCAATGTTGTTCAGTTGCTTTGTCAAGTGATCTTCAAGACCTTGACCAATAAACCATAACTCCACAGTAGATGACCAAGTCATATAATTATCAGAACCTGTCAATTTTTCAGCAGAGAGAACTGGAGAGGAAGAAAGATTGAACATATTGTTTGTTCCAGACATTGTTTAACAAAACAGAATAAAAGAAATGCCTGTAATAGGAGTACGATAACCGAATCTTATCAGCAAAGATGAAAGGATTTGGAGTATATGGTGACCGGGTCTGGTAAGAAACACAGAAAACCAAA